AAGGGCCTTGGGATTTTGATGGAGGATCAGCTGGCACGGAAGATAACAACAGTAAAACACAATGCATTAAGCCTAACCAGCAGATCAATGGTGAGCCACGCCGTTCCTCTCACTTCCCTTCAGAGCCTTCTCCAGACTCCTTCCTCCCGTGACACTGGCAAGAAAAAGCCATTTAAAAAAATCCCCTTGTTTATCCCATCTATCTTTCCTATGAGATGGCTGCTTGCTTAGGTGGAAGGACAAGACTCAAGCATGGTTGGAAAGGGTAAAAAGACAACAGGGGACAAACATGGGATTGCTGGCAGGTGGACAAAGGTCTCTTGGACATGTAGCCTTTACCTTCAGCTCTTCACCCCTTGCAAACAGATGGGTTTCCTAAATTAACAGGTCTGGACCTTCACTGACTGACTTGTTTACGTACAGCCTCCCTCATCCTGTCGCTGCTGCAGTCATTACGGAACCGTGCCAAGGGATGGGACCAGCACACAGGCGCCCGCACCCCTCCACAGCACCCCCAGCCCTTGGGTTCAAGCCCAAGCTGGAGCAACCTCCACTCACTGCAAAGCACGGGTGAATTTTGCACCGTTCTGGTTTTCCAGACCTACCCACATCGGGAATATTCCCAAGCATGAGGGTTTCAGGTTGCCCACTGCTCATCAGGTTATAAAGTTAGTAGTCACCTAATGCAACCACGCATTCAACCGCTTGGTTTTGCTGTTTTTTCTTGAGAAAATAATCAAGCTTCCCCCAAATAAGATGCAGTGGAACAAGATGGAAAGCGGGTACTCTCCTTGACATTTCTAAGCACAGCAGATGTACTTAACTAGCTCCCGTTATTTATTTATTTACTCGTGTAGAGAAAAGGCTTGTTACTGAAGAAACCCAAATGCTGATAAGATGATGAGAGGTTTGCATGATGGTTGATGGTCTCACTTTCGCTTATCCTGACTGAACACAAGTATCTATAACTAAATATTTCCCTTAGGGTACTGATGACTGAGGTATGTTTATTGCATTGAGTGAATTTATATATATAATCAGCACAATAAACATTATTAAATTGTCTGAGTAAAATCAAAGCATGAAACACACAGTCAGTGCTGAATTCTAATGATGCTGAATGCCCATGATTGCATGGGGAAAGGATCTTAACAAGCCTTGATTTGAGCTTTGGCATCCGCCTCACAAATCACACGAAATGTTCTCTCTTTAATAGTGCTGAATATTGATAAATGTCTCTGCACGGCACAACAGGGAAGTTGGTCTCTATTGGCAATCTTTACCAAAGTGTGTTTTTTCCTTCTCTACACTCAAGGGTTTACCCTGAATGATTTAATTATAATTTTCCTTGTGTAAGACAAATTAAAGAGGAGAGTAGGAGTGTCATGCCAAAGCAGATTATTTATCTCCTTAACAGATTGCTGTGCACCAAACCCCAGAGCTGCTGCTGCTGCTGCTACTTACAGAAACTGGGCGAAATGTGGGACAAAAGCATAGATGTAATATACATTTAAAGCCCAAATGAATGAAAGCATTAACCCATTATTTACAGCCAGAATTGTTTCATTCCTGTGAAAACCATACACACAGAGCACGCAGAAACCACGAGCAGCACCACGATGCTCCCCGGCCCCTGCCCACGAGTGGAGGACGCCTCCTGCTTTTGAACATATTTTTGCTTTTCGAACGTCCTGGGGTGACTCTGGCCACTCCCACTCACTTGCCGTTTGCTTTTTTGCCATAAAGGAGAACTTTTGTTGTCACTGGGGCTCCGAGCACAGCAGCCCCGCGGTGGCCAGCGTCACCAGTGACACCACAGCAGGGTCCCCGCAGCCCGCGCACGACTAAAGCGCTGCTGTACGCAACCGTGAGGCTGGGCCCACGGCACGGCGACGCGTGGGCACGCCGAGCAGCCGATGACTATTTCTCCTGCTATTTTAAACCCCCTTGTTTGTAACTAAATCATGTTTTTACACCCAGGACACTCAGCAGAGCTGCTGCTCGCCCGGTGACTTTTACGCAGGTGCCTGTGCTGCCGCTGCGGCCGGCCAAGCGCCTCCTGTCTCGCGGGTCTTGAACAGCCTCGCCACCTGACCGGTGGGATCAGGAACCCTGTAAAACACAGCCTGAACTATCCCAGTGACATATGCCAGAGATGACAGTGATGATAGTAACTCCCACATAACCAACTTGCCTCCTGCAGCCCACTCCTCCTCAAAAGCCCAAGAGGAAGGGACGGGGAAACAGCTTTACAGCACACCCTAAAAGTTAATGTTACCTGTATATGATTATTTATTGCTGCTGGGCAGTCGTTATGATGTGGCTGTGCTTAACTGTTGGGACACTCACAGCTTTTACTATGTGCTTTTTATTGTTGTTTAAATCTAAACAAATAGCTCTTGGTTGTATCAGACCAAAGCTAACAGCCACTTGCAGAGAAGGTGCAGGAATGATGGGGGGGGAGAAGCCACAACCCAAAAACCTGCCCTGGCCAGCTCAAGCTGAAGACTTGGGAGGCGGAAGGCTGACAACTCCCTTGTGAGCCCTTCCGACAGCCCCATCTGACCCGAGCTTGGGCCTGGGGGCACCTCCACAAGTCCCCTTGTATTTGCACGCTCGGTTGTTGGGCTGAACCCGCTGGGTACAAGAACATACGCAGACTTCACTGTTAAGTCTAGCAAACTCACGGTCCCGCCAGACCCATGATTTTTTCTAGTCTCAACCTTTGCAGGCAAAAAATTACCAAAACCCTGCTCATGCCTCTGCTCTCTCTTCTGTAAGCACGCTAAAATTTCACCTTCTGTGAGCTTTCCCATATACATCTGACGGCAGAGCACAGCGACTCTTTCCTCACTGCTCACTCACCACCCCAAACTCCCTGCCTGTAGATAAATACCCTTTCAGAAAGGAAACCAGTGCAACACATCTCAACAAGAGGAGTGTGTGTGTCAGATGAAATCCAGGCAGGCACCACGGTGCCTGATGAGACTGCAACAAAACCCTTAAGTGCATCAGTAGGCATTCTTCTGTGTGTAGTCTCCTGCTCTACTTATGGATAAAGATGTAATTCAATCACTGCAGCAAATGGATGGCGTAAACCCTCCATGTACCAAACAGAGGCAAGATAAAGCAAAGTCTGTAGCTCTCTTATTTGTATTCCTAAATATATCTATTTTGTATTTTGCAAGCTTCAACAACACAGCTATCAATTCAGTCACTGAGGATTTTAAGTCTTCTAGACTAAGACAATCTCAGACAATACCACGGCACGTTTATGCCTTCCTAATTAATTTATTTGGAACTTTCCTAATAAAAACATATGTATCTCCTTGTTTCTAGATCCCAGTTGCCTCCAGGCCACAATTACAGGACTCGGACACGTGGATTTCCAGTTCTGCTTGGCAGTATACACGGAGAAAATTCTTACTTCAGACCAGATTCCTGCGTTTCCACCGCATTTCAAACTCAACAGCAGCGGCATACTGTTTCCTTAGTTAGGCTGCCATTAGCCGACAGCACGTGCCGCTATTCAACGAAAGAAGATCCATTTCACTGCGTGGGTTTTTGTTTTACATACTCGGTAAGGAAAACATAGATAAAAAATTTATTGAAAAGTCATAAACGCATCTCGTTCAGCTCTATATGCAGCAAAAAGGGAAATTTAATTGTTTAATAAACACCAAATTGTTTTTAGTATCCCATGTAAGTCTTCATGAAAACCACGTCCTTGACACTTACATGCATTATGAATGTACACGCTGATGTTCCCCCACATGTCCTTGCAATAATGATGCCTTACACACACAGCGCAGCTCTTTCAACAGTGGTGTGCTCTCCTTTAAAATCTATCTATTCCCAACAGCACTATTTTCTTACTATTAGAAAGATATAAGAGGTATTTATATAGCTTCCCTATCAATCTACTTCCAGACCACCAGAAATATAAACTCTATGGCTTAAAAATTCCATTATCCTTTTTCTAATGAATGAAAGGAGGGTGGAAAGACAAAGCCATCAGTTTCCATAAAATCCAGCTCTCACTAGTGTCTGCTGTAACATTTCTAGATGGGCAAAGGGACTCTCCTGAATGCAAAGAAGCACTGCCCTCCCCACTGCGCCCACGCCGCTCGCGCGCTCCCGGAGACCCTTCTCCTCCTCCTCTGCCGCCGGCAGTGACGCCGAGGCTGCAGCAGGCACCGGCACCCACGGCCCGAGCTCCTTTGGGACCGTCTGTCTCACCGTAAGCAAAAGTTATGCTGTTAGACACGCCTCAGTGAAATCTGGGGGTGTAAAGAAACAAACCTGCAATAAAGCATCCTTCGGAATAAAGCAGAGCCCGCGCCGAGAAGCACGTCAACAGACAACCCCTGATTTAGGCCATTTCTTTTAACAATGCAAGCCTAGCAAGTATAAATTAACTCACACTTTTAAAAGCCAAACAACACCAGTTAGCTAATTTTATCAGCACTTAAAAAGAAAATACACTTTGTTTTAGAGAAACTTGGTGAACTCAAAGCCTATCCTGTCTTGTGAAAGAAGGTGAACACAGAGTAAAGAAAGGCAAAAGTGTTAGATGAGATGGGGCGCTGAAATTTGGCAGAAAAACGGGTGGTAGAAGAGCCTGTACTGACCAACAGTTTTTCTTTCCTCACCTCCAGCCTGCAAACCCAAAGCACATCAAGAGTAACACCACTCGGGATGCGAAACTCAAAAAAAACCAGCTTACTCCCTTCACACTTCCCCCAACACGCTTATCCAATGCACTTCTAATTAGCTAATTGTGCCCACATTGATCCAATTAACAAGCCATAAAGATCTGAACAAAAGGAGCATATTCTGCCCAATGGAGACTCTATTCAACCACGCCAAAAACCAGACAGAGCAAGACGGGGAGGACAAAACCGAGGCCAAGGCGGTTGGCCACCGCTCCCAACTACTGCGCCATCATTTCGGCACGCTGCTCGGAGACGCTCACGGGTGGAAACCCCACGGGCACCTACCTCTCCCGTTTAGGAGTGTGGACCGATAGCTGTCCGTTAGTTGAGGCGTGCGGGTTGATGATTAAGGAGGTCTTAGACGGCGCGGAGGAGGAGACGCAGGTGGTGGACAGGTCCAGGCTGCTGTGGTTGTTGCTGGCTGCCTCCTCCGCTGTGTGCGAGCTTGTCACTTCCTTCCAGAGCTGCTGCAGTTCTGTTGGAATCATGCCTGAAACAAACAAATTGGATAATTAAATCAATTAACAGCTAATTCGGCCGTCTTCAAACAGTAATTAAATCAAAGAGTCAGTAAACAAAGCCTAGTGTTAGTTTTGTGTGTGTGTGTGCGTGGTTTTGCGCATGTATTTTTTTTTTTTAATAACTAAAGGCTAATACTGATCCCCGCACAACTCTGCTACATTTTCTGCTATGAGACCTGCAATACCTACGTAATGCAAAATCGGGGTGTGGGGCAGGGGGGTCCACACAACATGCCACCCACCCCAAACTCTATGTTAATTATTAATATCATAAAATGACTGAGGGCCCGTTTCCAGAGTCCCTACTCAAGCAGAAAGCACCCCAAGCTCACAGCAAGGCTGACAGCAAAGGTGGCCAAGGGCTACTTTGCAGTCAGCTGGAGAATTTTTTATTTTTTTAATATACTATGTATTTCAATTTTTTTTTAAGGAAAGCAAATACTTCCTAGCCTGTTTTTAAAGGAAAGGAAGGTCTCAGGAAGAAAAAATACTCAGCTTTATTATTATGACAACACGAACCACAATATGACTAATTTTGTGCTTAAGTTTTAAATGATGACAAATAGCTTTGTTATTAAATACAGTTTTTATTAATCACTTTTAGACATAAATTATGAATTCATATTGTCTTCCTGAAATGCTTTTCAAATTTTAACAGTCAAATTGATTATACTATGATTATTTCATTAACACACCTATCTTTCTCATTAATTTTGGTTTCTTGAACTGCTCACTTAATTGATGGATGTGTCTACTGAAAAACTGTATAACTTTCTATACAAGTAACACTATTATTACTGTCATTTCTTAGATCGATGCTAATGAGCCATTCAAAAGTAAAACGAAAACATAAAATAAGCTTCAAGAAATGGGAACAACAAAATAAATATATATTGTTTTAATTGTGCCAAAACGGACACCGGGGTTAGGACACAGCTTCCAACAAATAATGCAAGTGAAAACTTTGCAAACTCCAGCGGGCCAAACCGAGGGCTGGCAGGGGAGCCGCGCACATCAGCGTGACACGGGCTCAGGCTGAGATCATGCTTTTGGATAAAGCTTGCGTTTGTGGCATGATCTAACAAGTCAAGTTTCTCTCGCTGAAGACTCCTTCAGCGCTCTTTCAGAGAAGGCCATGGGAAAAAAAAAAAAATCAGCGGCAGAGAGGCATCCCTGAAATATTCAGGGAAAACAAAAATAATAAAAGCCAGCGTCTGTGTGTTTGTAAAGAGGCTTCTCATCGCTGTGCTTCCAGATCATCGTTTGGATGACTGTTCATTGTTTCACCATACTGTAGCACTGAGGCTATCCTAAGGAAATCTGCCATTTTCTGAGAGTATAGCAGCAGCTCACACAGGCATGTATCTCACCAAACCTAAGGTATTGAAATAAAAAAAAAAAAGGCAGTATGCATTATATTCATTTGAAACACATAATAAAAAATGCCAAGGTCTAAATTTAATTTATTTTTGTCATTTAGAATACAATGGATAGATAATCATCTCAACGTGATCAGCCAAACATCTTTACTTTGCTAAACTGTTAAAGATTTTAATTATGCTAGCTTTGGAGAGCACTGGTCTAATGAGGCGATAGACTCCAGAGAATCTAAGTGGTTAAGAACTGTGAAATGAGTCTGATAGGATTTTTTTATATTCACCGTGGATCGTTTGCATATCAAAGAGGAGTAAATTATTGCACGACAGACCAATAACCTTCCCCGCCTTTCCGAGAGTAGCATTAACAAAAACAGTTGGTCTCTGGTAACGGTTCACTACAAAAAAATGCTAAAATCCTTAAGTATCTGCAATTAATATATATTATGAAAGAGCCTCCAATTTATACATTAAGTGATCAGATATTCTTAGGACACATCCGTTGCTCTAAAGCCACGTCATTCTCCTTTCATCAGACCCAAACGCCAATTATATTTTGATGGATTTTGTCCCAAATGAGCATTTAGTTATTAGACATATTCAATTATTACTTGTCCCCTGAAATTAAACCTCTGAGCAAATTAAACAAAGAAAAAAGGTCAGTACACAAGCCTATGTCCTGTTTTGCTGTATCGGGGCTATTATTTTCAAACACCTTGCGAAGTGACAGTGCGGGATGTATTTTTAGCTAACACGCTTGACAGGACTGTCTGCGCACTAACAATTACCTGTGAGCACGCCTGACCCTTACACCACTGTTTACTCAATTGAAACAATAGTGAATAGACTTGTCTGTTGATGATAACATATTGATATGAGACCATATGAGTCGACACCTATTTTTATTTCCCAGAATAAGCAAATAGGGAAAG